CCTCTATTTTTTTATACTCTGTTTGTGCGCTATTTAAAACATCCATTGCTATAAAAAAAAAAAAAAAAAAAAGAAAAAAAAAACTCAACGTGAGGTGTAAAGTAAAGTGATTTAGTTTTCGCGAGTTTAAAATTAGTCAGACCCCTATCTCTATATAACACGACATCCAAGCAATTTGATTGGACATGGGTCTATTTTGACATTAATGTTATTAAAAAATATTAACAGTTAAAAATAACATAACAGACAACTGATAACCATAAAAAAACAAAACCCTTGGTTTAGCTCTGCATCGCGAAATTTATATAAAAGCAATTTTTTTTTATTGAACGTAACCTCTAATGGATTATCAACGACAACTGTTAGAGGAGTTAATGGCTCCTTACGAATCGTCAGCAAAACATAACTTTTGGGATGACAGCGTATGCAAACATTTCCTGGTCAAATTTTGCCCTAATTCTCTCTTCACCAACACAAAATCCGATCTTGGTACATATAAACACTTTTTTTTTACCTCTGAGCTTTCTTAACGTTTAACTGATTCATTTGACCGTGATCTAGGTCCTTGTACTAAAATACACGATGAAAAGCTACGTCAACAGTGCGTAGTATTCCTTTTTGTAAAAATAGAATTAAGCTCTCAAATGTCAAAAATAATTATAGCATTATTATACTACGATTAGATACCGGGAGGCACCAGAACGTGGAAAGTATGGATATGAAATCAAATTCTACGACTATTTACAATCGCTGTGTAATGACTTGGACAAAAAAATTCGAAAGGGAAATGATAGGTTAAACGTCCGTCCGGATGATACGGTATACAATTTTATTCGCACTTAATAACTCGCTTGATTGGTTATAAACTTATTTAGTTTCTATTTGCTTTCATTGTACATGTAGCTTTTAAATCCTAATAAAGATGAAAAGGAAGAAAGGATGATTATATTAGATATAAAAATCAAAGAATTATTAACAAAGGTAATAAAACCAAATTTTTAACACAATTGACTGTTTATATGAATAATTTCATAGATTTTAAACCTATAATTGTTTAAGATTGAGGAAGCAGGTGAGGAAGGACGCGTTCAAGAAGCACAGACCTTGACTAAGGAAGTAGAAACGCTTCAAAAAGATTTGGATTTCTTGAAAAACGTGAGTATATCATACAAAAACAAAAAGACGATATTACGTAGGGAACAAGCGAAGAAGGAAAGCCTACAATATGAGGTAACTTCATTGTATAACATGTAGTTTATAAAATCTAAATTGGATAACAAGACGTTCCTTCAAGAACGTTTCTGAAAGCTAACTTTACAACCCAACAGTTTTAGCATCCTCCGTGATGCAACATACTTTTTTTTTATTTTGGGAAGCTACTTTACGATATATTCCACTATATATTGAACATAAATTCCAGGGAGACATTTGAAAAATCGGTAGACTTTCATATTTTATTTCCCTGTTCACTAACCTTTCTATCTCCAAATCAATTCCATGAAACCAATTCTCCGGTCCATCCTTTATGATTTGAAATACTTAGAGCGACGATTCAAACCCATTATTTAAACAAGAAAGAAGAATGTTGGTTTGTGAAGTATGTGGAGCTTTTCTGGTGACAAATGATACGTCTAATCGTATGGACGCTCATCTACAAGGAAAGCAACATACAGGATACAAGCAGATTCGTGAAACTCTTCATGAATGGAAGGTAAGGATTGATCATTGAATGGTTCAAGCTAGTGTTCCGCAAAAAATCCGGATCGGACCCGGATCGATTTCGGTCCACATAGAGATCCGATCCGTCATACATAAAAAGTTGTAAGATCCGATCCGGATTCGATCAATACGGAACACTAATTCAAACCATAACGATAAGCGTTTGTTTCTTTGTATTCTGTTTTCGTTTTCTTTTCAAATCTTATTGGAAAAATATGTTTCTAGCAATCACGATTATATTCATCTCGCGATTCAAGTCGTGACCACCGTCGAGATTCATATGTTCGGCACGAGCCTTACCCTCGCAGCCGTAGAGAAAAGTACAGAGAATATCGACGTGACGAGAGAGATCCAGAGAGAGATTATGATGATTATAGTCGTAGGAGAAACGGTAAAGATTATCGACGTGACCGAGACGATCGAGGTCGTCGGTATTACGATGATTGAGTTTTTCAGGTACCTCTTTTTTTTCAAAAAAAATTAAAAGTAAAAAAATCGTCCAAAATTTAACGTCATTGGCTCGTATTTGGCTTGAAGTAATCCTCGTGCCCAAATCGTGTCTTTGAATAAAAGCTAGTTAAAATAGATTAATCGATCATATTTATATCTCGATGATTAAATTGAACTTTTTCTTTTACATATTCAAGATTTATTAATTATAGATGTGAATGATTATAATAAAATGGGTGAGGCTTCAAAAAAAAAAAAAAAAATTTATTCAGAAATAAATTATTGCTGTATATATTAATACACCAATTTGCGTTGTCAAACCGATACATTCTTGTAATTTTCACTATTACAATTAATAATTATTAAACTGATTATAACAGTCCTCGTCTCCGTAGTTCTCTACGCTCTTCCAACTATACAGTAAAGACAAAAATAAAATAAATCGAGAATTTACATGCATTCAATAACGTAATTAAATATAAAATCATAAAATTTCTTACCCATTTTTTTTTACACTCACGATATTGTAAAAATAATTCTTGGCATTTACTTTTGTCGTAATTATTAGAATCCAAACATTTCATAGCAGCGGAAGTTTCGTTTGGGCACGGATCTAAAAATTTTGAAGTTTGTTTAACTTTGAAGGACTGGTGAACATCATTTAAAGAAATTTGGTCGGTCATTGTAAAGTGCTAAATTCAATTTATTGTAAATTGTGAGATTTGAATCCACATAACGATAACGATAAAATTTAAGCTTCGGTTCACAAACCCGGATTCAAATGATTCGGGTTATTTGTGGCATGAAATTCATACGATTGGCTCAAATTTAACATATATACGGATTTTTTTAATTATTGTCCGGAGCATAGCGGAGGACTTTATATGATTAGGTAAGGTGATACAAAAGTTACATTTTAGATGCGTCAATAATTGTCAAAATTGTAACTTCCGTATTTGGGGGACGTCTAAAGCGGAGATAAATTATATAATTAATATTTTTGAATTAACTTTAGGGTTAGGGTCATTTTAGGCT